ACACTATGAGATTAGAAATCAATTACAGGGGGAAAAAACGTAAAAAACACAAAACACATGGAGGCTAAACAATACGTTACTAAATAACTGAGAGATCACTGAAGGAATCAAAGAGGAAATCAATAAATACCTACAGACAAATGACAATGAAAACAAGACGATCCAAAACCTATGGGATGCAGCAAAAGCAGTTCTAAGAGGGAATTTTATAGGAATAAAATCCTACCTCAAGAAACAAGAAAAATCTCAAATAAACAATCTAACCTTACACCTAAAGGAAGTAGAGAAAAAAGAACAAACAAAACCCAAAGTTAGCAGAAGGAAAGAAATCATAAAGATCAGAGCAGAAATAAATGAAATAGAAACAAAGAAAACAATAGCAAAGATCAGTAAAACCAAAAGCTGGTTCTTTGAGAAGATAAACAAAATTGATAAACCTTTAGCCAGACTCATCAAGAAAAAGAGTGAGAGGACTCAAATCAATAAAATTAGAAATGAAAAAGGAGAAGTTACAACAGATACCACAGAAATACAAAGCATCATAAAAGACTATCACAAGCAACCCTGTGCCAATAAAATGGACAACCTGGAAGAAATGGACAAATTCTTAGAAAGATATAACATTCTAAGACTGAACCAGGAAGAAACAGAAAGTATGAACAGAACAATCACAAGCACTGAGATTGAAACTATGATTAAAAATCTCCCAACAAACAATAGTCCAAAACCAGATGGATTCATAGCTGAATTCTGTCAAACATTTAGAGAACAGCTAACGCCAATCCTTCTCAAACTCTTCCAAAAACTTGCAGAGGAAGGAACACTCCCAAACTCATTCTCTGAGGCCACCATCACCCTGATACCAAAACCAGACAAATATACTACAGAAAAAGAAAATTACAGACCAATATCACTGATGAATATAGATGCAAAAATCCTCAACAAAATACTAGCAAAATACTAGAATCCAATAACACATTAAAAGTATCATACACCATGATCAAGTGAGATTTATTCCAGGGATGCAAGGATTCTTCAATATACACAAATCAATCAATGTGATACCCCATATTAACAAATTGAAGAATAAAAACCATATGATCATCTCAATAGATGCAGAAAAAGCTTTTGACAAATTCAACACCATTCATGATAAAAACTTTCCAGGAAGTGGGCATAGAGGGAACCTACCTCGACATAATAAAGGCCATATATGACAAACCCACAGCAAACATCATTTTCAATGGTGAAAAACAGAAAGCATTTCCTGTAAGATCAGGAAGAAGACAAGGATGTCCACTGTCACCACTATTATTCAACATAGTTTTGCAAGTCCTAGCCACAGCAACAAGAGAAGAAAAAGAAATAAAAGGAATACAAGTTGGAGAAGAAGATGTAAAACTGTCATTGGTTGCACATGACATGATACTATACATTGAGAATCCTAAAGATGCCACCAGAAAACTACTAGAGCTAATCAATGAATTCAGTAAAGCTGCAGGATACAAAATTAATCACAGAAATCTCTTGCATTCCTATACACCAACAACGAAAGATCAGAAAGAGAAATTAAAGAAACAATCCCATTCACCATTGCAAGAAAAAGAATAAAATACCTAGGAATAAACCTACCTAAGCAGGTAAAAGACCTGTACTCAGAAAACTATAAGACACTCATGAAAGAAATCAAAGACGACACAAACAGATGGAGAGATATACCATGTTCTTGGATTGGAAGAATCAATATTGTGAAAATGATTATACTACACAAAGCAATCTACAGATTCAATGCAATTCCTATCAAATTACCAATGGCAGTTTTTAGAGAAGTAGAACAAAAAATCTTAAAACTTGTGTGGAGACACAAAAGACCCTGAATAGCCACAGCAATTTTGAAGGAAAAAAAGGTAGATGGAGGAATCAGACTCCCTGACTTCAGACTATACTACAAAGCTACATTAATCAAGACAATATGGTACTGGCACAAAAACAGAAATATAGATCAATGGAATAGGATAGAAAGTCCAGAGATAAACCCACGCACCTATGGTCAACTAATCTATGACAAAGGAGGCAAGGATACACAATGGAGAAAAGACAGTCTCTTCAATAAGTGGTGCTGCGAAAACTGGACAGCTACATGTAAAAGAACGAAATTAGAACACTCCCTAACACCACACAGAAAAACAAACTCAAAATGGATTAAAGACCTAAATGTAAGACTGGACACTATAAAACTCTTAGAGGAGAACATAGAAAGAACACTCTATGACATAAATCACAGCAAGATCTTTTTTGTCCTAGATCATTATGTCCTAGAGTAATGGAAAGAAAAAGAAAAAGAAACAAATGGGACCTAATGAAACTTAAAAGCTTTTGCATAGCAAAGGAAACTATAAACAAGATGAGAAAACATCCTTCAGAATGGGAGAAAATATTTGGAAACGAATCAACTGACAAAGGATTAATCTCCAAAATATATAAACAGCTCATGCAGCTCAGTATTAAAAAAACAAACAACCGAATCCAAAAATGGGCAGAAGACCTAAATAGACATTTCTCCAAAGAAGACATACAGATGGCCAAGAAGCACATGAAAAGCTGCTCAACATCCCTAATTATTAGAGAAATGCAAATCAAAACTACAATGAGGTATCACCTCACACCAGTCCAAATGGGCATCATCAGAAAAGTTACAAACAACAAATGCTGGAGAGGGTGTGGAGAAAAGGGAACCCTCTTGCACTGTTGGTGGAAAGTAAATTGATACAGCCACTATGGAGAACAGTATGGAGATTCCTTAAAAAACTAAAAATAGAACCACCATATGCCCTAGCAATCCCACTACTGGGCATATAACCAGAGAAAACCATAATTCAAAAAGACACATGCACCCCAATGTTCATTGCAGCACTATTTACAATAGCTATGTCATGGAAGCAACCTAAATGCCCATCAACAGACGAATGGATAAAGAAGTTGTGGTACATGTATACAATGGAATATTACTCAGCCATAAAAAGGAATGAAATTGGGTCATTTGTAGAGATGTGGATGGACCTAGAGACTGTTATACAGAGTGAAGTAAGTCAGAAAGAGAAAAACAAATATCGTATATTAATGCATATATGTGGAATCTAGAAAAATGGTACAGATGAACTGGTTTGCAAGGCAGAAATAGAGACACAGATGTAGAGAACAAACATATGGACACCAAGTGGCAGGGGGAAAGTGGCAGGGGGTGGGGGTGGTGGTGGGATGAATTGGGAGATTGGGATTGACATGTATACACCAATATGTATAAAATAGGTAACTAATAAGAAGCTACTGTATCAAAAAATAAAATAACATTCAAATATAAAAAAAGATAAAGAAAAATTACAAAATGTAAATGGTATTTACAAACTGTAAATGGTACTGTACCATTTAAAGTAAATGGTATACCCTGCCATTTTGCATGTCCTTACATTGCATTTCCACATATTTATATACATATATGCTGTATCTTGAAGATAAAGCTTGGATCCTACTAAAAAAGAAAAATAGAATTATATATATGTATAACAGAGTCACTTTGCTGTACAGAAGAAATTAACACAACACTGTAAATCAACTATACTTTAATAAAATTTTTTAAAAAGGTTAATATTTGAAATATATAAGGAACTCATACAAGTCAATGTCGAAAAAGCAAATAACACAATTAAAGTATGGAGAAAGGAACTGAATAGAAATTTCTCCAAGAAGACATACAAATGTCCGACAGGTACATGAATAAGTGCTCACCATCACTAATCATGACTGAAATGTAAATCAAAACCACAGTAATTACCTCATCCCTGTTAGGATGGCTATTATTAAAAAAACACCCAGAAGATAACAAGTGTTGGTAACAATGTGGAGAAAAGGGAACACGTGTACACTGTTGGTGGGAATGTAAATTGGTGCAGCCACTCTGGAAAACAGTATGGAGGTTCCTCAAAACACTAAAAATAGAACTACCCTATGATCCAGCCATTCCACTCCTGGGTATATATCTGAAGAAAATGAAAACACTAATTTGAAAAGATAAATGTTCATAGCAGGATTATTTATGGTATATGGAAGCAACCTAAGTATCCATCAACAGATGAATAGATAAAGAAGATGTAGTACATACACACAAAGGAATATTACTCAGCCATAAAAAGTAATAAAATTCTGCCATTTGCAACAACATGGATGGACCTAGAAGTTATTATGCTTAGTGAAATGTCAGACAGAGAAAGACAAATACTGTATGTTTTCACTTATATGTGGAATCTAAGAAATAAAACTAATAAATGAATATAACAAAACAGAAATAGACTCACAGATATAGAGAACAAACTAGTGGTTACTGAAGGGGAGAGGGAAAGAGGGAGGGGCAAGACAGAGGTAGGAGATTAAGAGGAACCAACTACTCTGCGTGAAGTAAATAAGCTACAAGGATATATTTTACAGCACAGAGAATATAGCCAACATTTGATAGAAATTTAATTGGAGTATAATCTATAAAAACATTGAATCACTATGTTGTACACCTGAAACTAATATAATATTGTAAATCAACTATACTTCAATACAAAATGGATAAAGAAAATGTTGGATATACATACAATGGAACATTATTTACCCTTAAAAAAGAAGGAAATCCTGCTATTTGTGACAACATGGATGAACTTAGAAGACCTTATGCTAAGTTAAATAAGCCAGACACAGAAGTACAAATACTACGTAATATCACTTATATGAGGAATCTAAAATAGTCAAACTCATAGAAGCAAAGAGTGGTATGTATGGTAGTTGCCAGGGGCCGTGGAGGGAGGAAATGGGAAGGTATTAGTCAAATGATACTAAGTTTCAGTTATGCAAGGTGAGTAGGTCCTAGAGATGTACTGTACACCATAGTTCCTACAGTTATTCAAAGAACAATTTCCTCTCCCACAATTGTTTCTGAAATTCTACAGGGAATAACTTACCTGTTCTCAGCAATGTCAGCTTCAAAGTAAAGTCTGTCATTTTCTTTTTTCCCTTCTCTTGTTGCCTAGGTGTTATCTGAGCACCATTTCTTCTGTACCCTACAAATAATGGTTATCAATATCAATAATAACAATAGTGACAATAATCTTCCTTTGGTACTTACCAAAAGTGGTTTTGCTAGTGCCTTAGGGACCAATGCTAATACATATATTCAAAATGTAAAGAAAAGACTGAACAAAAAATGTCCAAAATGTTGAGAGTGGTTTACTCTGGGTATGGAATTATAGGTGGCTTATTTTTCTTCTTTTCTAATGTTTTAGTGCTTTAAAGTTGTTCTTTAAAAGGCCATATATAAATTTACAATGTAGGAAAAATATAAAAGTAGGAAAATCTCAACAGTATGCTTTAAACTGAAGTCACTTTATTGCTTCTACTTTTAGCCTTGATAAAGTAAGTAGTATAGGACTAGCCATCTTGCTAGGAGCAAATATAAAACAAGAGACTTCCCTGGTGGTCCAGTGGTTAAGACTTCGCCTTCCCACGCAGGGGTTGTGGGTTCGATCCCTGGGCAGGGAGCTAAGATCCCACATGCCTCGTGGCCAAAATACAAAAAATAAAAAAAAAAAAAGAAGCAATATTGTAACAAATTCAATAAGACTTTAAAAATGGTCCACATCAAAAAAAATCTTAAAAAACAAACAAAAAAACCCCCAATATAAAACAAAGTATAGAACAGTCACTTTCAGACATTGAACAACAGCCAGCTCAGAATGTAATCCTGTATAAGAAGATTAGCAAAGGTGAAAATAGATTGAAACCACCCACTCTATATTGGAGAGTGGGGCAAACAGATATGAACTATGTAGGCATGTATATTTACAAAATCTCTCTGGAAGGTAATCTGAAAATATTACAAAATTCCAAAATAAGCTTTTTTTATTTTTTTCTGAACAACGCTAATTTTAGGACTTTATATTTTGGAAAGCATTATAGATATGCAAAATTTTTGTTTCAAAGGATATTCACATATAGAAATGTCTCCAGACAAAAAGTCTAACAATAGGTGATATGTTAAATAAATTTTAGATTTCCTACTTAACATAATCTATACAGTACAGAGAAACAGGTAAAAGTGAAGATGACTGAGTCACACAGACATGGGTTGGATCCTTTTCCCCTCATTTCTTAGATCTGTATCCTTGGACAATTTATTTAGCTCTTGCTTGTATGTGACAGTTTCCTAATGTAGAATGAACATAACGTCACAACTTCACTGTACAAATATAAAGATTTAATTAAGAACTTAATGGAAAATAGTTTGCTCAATGTCTGGCAGCTACATTAAAAAAATGCCTGCTATGGTTATGATGGTGATGCTACAACAACCATAAGCCATTAAAAGGTAAGTAGATCGATATTTTCCACAGAAAGATGTCTGACACACAATTGAGTTTAAAAAGTGGGTTACAAAATAACATGTATGGCTGTGTGTGTGTGTGTGTGTGTATGTCTCTCTCTCTCTCTCTCTCTCTCTCTCTCACTGATTCCTTTAAATAACATCCTTATCACATTGATAAACTTTTAACACACAATAAAACTAAGAATCCAGGGCTTCCCTAGTGGCACAGTGGTTGAGAGTCCGCCTGCCGATGTAGGGGACGCGGGTTCGTGCCCCGGTCCGGGAAGATCCCACATGCCACGGAGCGGCTGGGCCCGTGAGCCATAGCCGCTGAGCCTGTGCATCCGGAGCCTGTGCTCCACAACGGGAGAGGTCACAACAGTGAGAGGCCCGCGTACCGCAGAAAAAAACAAAACAACAACAAGAAAAAACAACTAAGAATCCAGGTAGAACTGTAAAGTATAGGTAAAGAATGGTTATCTCTCTATCTGTCAAAGGTAGGATTTGTATATTTAATGCACATGTGTGTGTATATGTGGGTTGGGGAAGAATGCGGTTTAATCTCCAGGCAGGAAAGGAGATACATGAGTGAAAAAGGAGCCAAATAAGATGAACTGTATTATCATTTGTATTCCAAGGAAGGTCAGGGATAATTATTCTTTCACACTCTAAATTTTCATATAACTTTGTCAACTTGACTAATTAATTCTCTTTAATACAGAGAGAAAGTGAGGAAGAAAAATGGGTAGGAAAAATAAAAGAATGGGAACAAAAGTTAGAAGCAAGCAGGGAGGGGAAGCTGAACATAGAGAACAGGAATCCAGAGATGTGGAGAAAAGCAGCGGGAGGAAGGGACTACAGGAAGAGATCTATAAGTTTGGCTGTTTTCCCAAACTAAAAGTACAGGCAATGAAACTTTTGTACCTCTGAGGCCCTAATAACATTGTAACCAGTATGGCTTTTCCAGATATCTTCTCTTAATGACTTTGTCTCACGTGCGCACAAGTGCATACATGGGAATTATTCCTTGTCATACACATACAACAGTGCTACATATACCTACTCAATCAGCTTCACAAGCAATATCTCACACAAACACGCAGACATCTACACATCATGGATATGCTCACATGAGTATTTTATATTCTTATGTACTCTCATGGCCACCAAATCTGTACCATAACAAAAGGAGTCACAGAGGAGGTACTGAGCCAATTGGATACTGACAAGGCTGGGTCATATGGGAAGCCACCATGCCTGACTTGTATGGGAAGAAGATTGGAAAACAGGGTATACAAGTGATGGCACTAGCAGTGGAGGCTAGTATCCTCCTCCGGACTAGAAGGACAGCACTGAATGTAGCTAGACCCACCCTTCTCCATCTGCTGTAACTCATCAAGGGGATTGGAGGCAGCAGTGACGGCATTCCTGGAACAGTTTACCATACAGTCTGGGTTCCTTCACATCCCCTAGACCCAAAGCATGTTCACAGGCAAGAAGCTCTTGAAGGCATTCCTCAAAGCAAGATTCCTAGTATCCTTCCAGCTCTCTGCCTGTTCAAGGGGAGATGGTGGAACAAATGCAAGCTGGGGAAAACAGTGAAGACCAAAGAGCTGACAGCAGAGGGTAGGGGAGAATCAGGCAGAGCTGCTTTTCAATAGCAAGAGGAAAATAACGTGATCTCTCTGGAAACAGCCTCATCAATGAAGGAGAAGGTCTGGAAGAGGATTTGGGGGCTGGGATTCTGGAGGAGAAGAGTGGAAATAGAATTGTCTCTGGGAGTCTAGAAAGGAAAAAAATTAATGGACAAGAGCGTGAATGACAAAGTTCATCTTTCCCAACACGATGCTCACCTCTCAACCCTCAATCAGTGTTGCAAAATCCTATAGATGGAGGTCCATCACAAACTTTCTCACTCTCACCAGAGGGCAGAGATAAAGCTGAGGAGTCACTGGTGAAGGAACTGAGGATCAAGTGCCAGATGGAGTGATTTCTATAGCCTGCATATCTACTCTAAAGGACATCACCAGTTGTGGATAGGCTTCTAAGCAGTGTCTCCCAAGGTCTACACTAGAGTCATTCTATGAGTTCGACTCCATCCCAAGCCTTTCTTCCCTAATTAATTCAAAGTACAAACTCCAATTCTCTTAGGTCCCAGTTCTGAACAGAGGATTTTCCTTCCAGGGAACATTTAAAGGTGAGGTCCTGAGACTCATGTTAACAGGGCATTCCCTGGAGCTTCAAGATCCTTCAACTTTATTATCTTTCCATCCTCTGAGACACCTTAGGGCACTTTGTGTTGTATTTGAAATCACAGACTAAAGCCTTCAAATCATAATCACCTCTCTTAAACTTTATACCACTGTCATTCAAATGATGTCAGCAGATATAGTCTCAGAGGTTCATAAGTCATCAAAACTTGTGTTTTCATTTATATGATAATTAAATAGAAATGAAAATGAACAGATATTGTATTATGCAGATGCCAACTTTCTTATTGAGTTATGCAACTTGGCTGAAGGACTTGCATTTCGTTTCAATTTATGGTTGTTTTAGTGCCATGTGATCACCTTAAGTGGTGGAGTTTAATTTGGTTAGTGCTGTCCTAATATCAACATGACAACAGGGTGTGCTGTTATATTAAAGTTGTATACTTTTTACTGAACATAAAGTCAAAGCTTTTCTTTTGTGGAGATAATTTACCGTCAAAAGACAGTTTTGTAGAATGAAACTTTAGTTTTGTTTCACTGATGGTTAAGATTTATATTCAGGAGCTCCAGTTGAAGCTGGGGACAGGATTGTCAAAAAGATTATGGCACACCATCCAGAGTTATCCCTTGGTTTCCTAGCTCTTTCAAAATAGGTTATTTTGTCCAAGAAAAACCATCAGTTCGGCAAGGTACTTTGGCTCTTTTTCTTATATCTTAGTGACTGGTTTTTGGTTTTTTATTTTCAGGGAAGAGACAACAGGAAGAGTTGTACAACCAAAGGACTAAAAAAGAAAAATCTACACCATCATGAGATGGGGGAGGTGTCGCAAGAACAAAATACGACTCAAATGTTTTTGTCAATAATAAAGAGAAATTAAATTGCATAACTTTAAAGGTGAATTCAATCTATTGTTGTATTACTAGAAGTGTGATATTCAAATAAAGAAGATGAGTCTTTTGATCTACTATATCCTTGTCAGATGACACTAGAAATGAATATACCATCTTATAAAGTATTGTTTTGCAACATTGAAAACATTCCAACTAAACAGCACAATCATTGTCTAACAACCTTGTAAAGGGGATTCTTGAAATGGTTGGTAGTGTTTGCGGGCAATTCCTAAGCCCTCCAATTCTGAATTATATAATTTTACAGGCTATATATAGTGTGTAGTGACTTCATACTGAAAAAGAGAGACAAACTAATCAGACACAGGGGACAGAATTCCTTCTTCTGGGACTCTCTGATGACCAACACACCCAGCAGCTGCTTTTCGTCTTATTCCTGGGTGTCTACCTGGTCACTGTGCTTGGAAATTTACTTCTCATGTTCCTCGTTCAGATTGACTCCCAGCTTCACACACCCATGTATTTTTTTCTCTGCAATTTATCTCTGACTGACCTCTGTTTCTCTGCCAACATCATTCCTCAGGCCCTAGAGCCCTGCTATCCTGTAAGAAAGTGATTTCATTCACACGTTGTGCAGCTCAGCTTCTACTCTTCCTCATTTTTGGGTGTACACAGTGTGCCCATTTGGCGGTGATGTCCTATGATCGGTATGTGGCTATCTGCAACACTTTGCATTACCCCAGCATCATGACTTGGAGGGTGTGTGTCCAGCTGGCTGTAGGATCATGGACCAGTGGCATTCTGCTGTCTGAGGTGGACAGCACCTTCACACAAAGGCTACCCTACTGAGGCAGCAATAATATTGCTCATTTCTTTTGTGAGGCCCCTGCACTGTTGATCCTGGCATCCACAGACACCCGCACTTCAGAGATAGCCATTTTCTTCATGGGGATTGTGATTCTCCTCACACCTGTTTCTCTAATTCTGGTATCCTATGGCCACATCATAGTGACTGTGGTCAGGATGAAGTCAGCTGCGGGGAGGCTCAAGGCATTCTCTACTTGTGGCTCCCACCTCATGGGGGCCATCTTTTTTTATGGATCAGCAATTGTCACCTACATGGCACCAAAGGCTTCCAAAGAACAGGAAAAGCTGGTTCCTGTGTTCTATGCAGTGGAGACCCCCATGCTTAATCCCCTCATCTACAGCCTGAGGAACAAGGATGTGAAGGGAACTCTGTGAAAAGTAGCCACAAGGAATTTCCCTTGCAGACTTGGAATTTTCCACTGACAGTGAGACCTTCCTGGCTGCCTACTTGTAAGAATCGCTGAGTTGGTCCCTCAGCAAGACTGGAATATGGTACAGTTCTTATCCTTGAGACTTGTCCATGGACTCACTCTCCATCCTTTATCCAGCACTACCTTTGTAGAAGAAGAAGGACAATAATTCATGGAGCATTAGGAAGAAGAGTCTGCTTCCTTCTGGTCAGTCTTTTAGTACCAGGGGATTTAAAAAAATCCCTTGAGAAACACTCCCATTTTATAAACCTGGGAACCTGTAAAATCTATCTTTTAAAAATAATACTATATACTACTATCTATCTATTCAAGATCCTACTCCAACTCCTTTATCTTTTGGTATTTCTGAATCTCTTTGCATCATCAAATAACCAATAAATTGACAAACAGTACTTAGTCACTTACTATGAGCTAGGTGTTACATGTATGTGTATGTGTACATGCAACTGCATGTGTGTTTGAGGTTGAGGATGAAGAGCATGGGTATGATGAAGCAGAATACATGAGCTCTGCTGTCCTTCTTCTCACACTGTTATTAGAGACATGAGCATCCATTGGGGCACCTCTTTATAATGGTAAACACAGGGATTTGGAAACCAACAAGAAATAGTGACATCTAAGGGGTGGAAGAGTGAGAAGCTATTACCAATCCTAGGCCTAAAGGAGCAAAAGGAGGCAACTGGAACTTGGAGAGGGTAGCTGTATATAAAAGACCAGCAGACAGGAGCTGTGGACTTAAGTATATGGAGGTGAGGAAGCCTCATGAGCTTAAATATTTCAAGCTCATTCTCTACCTACCTTCCAATTTCCTGTTACTGTATTAAAAAAAAAAATCCAGGATAATCTCCCCATCTGAAGAGCCTTAATTTAAACATATCTACAAAGTCCTTTTTACCATGCAAGGTAAAATACTTACAGGTGCTGGGGAGTAGGATGTGGACATCTTTGGGGGGCCGTTAGTCTGCCTACTATACCAAGGTCAAGTAAAATAAATGTAAAAGAGAAAAGCTTGCTAAACATTTTATAATAGTGCCAATCTGCCTAGTTGTGTGATTGCCACCATGCAAATAGAACCGCTGATCTGCCTTTTCATTTGCAAATTCCTATGGGGATTTCAGAATGTGCTGTCCTTCTGGAGCCCTTGCTATGCGAGAGCTGAAGGATACCCTGTGTGGGAGATCGAACTGGTCCTGGTACCTCCCTGGCACACAGAGGGAGAGCCGTTTGTAGAGCTTGAGGAGAGGACATGTCTATGGAGTAAATGCTAGTTTACGCTGTTAACTGTCAATAAGTTCTTATGAATACTTTACACAAAGCTATGGTGCCCGTGTCCCAAGTCTGCTCTTTGCCAAGAATCCAGAACCGGGCTATGTTTCCTGACAAAATCAAAAGAGGGGCTGTTAAATTGGTTGAGGGACATGTAAGTTTAAAAAGGACAGTTGATTTCATCCAATCACAATAAAAATCACAAAAAATCTAGAAAACAAGTAATCTTTGGGTTATTCACAGCAGTTTCCCATCATTTATCCACTTATACTTAACTTGGATTCCTTTACACCCATTCTGTCAAGTAACTCTCATATCCAAGGTGTATAATTTGAGATTGAGGTAGTCATCAATGCAAAGTAGTCTTTCTCCAGATGAGGCACAGACCAATTATGGTAGCAGAAAAAGTCCTCCATTGATAGCCCTCTAAACATGTGTACCTAACAAGACAGTGGAGGATTTAAAGTATCTTTTTATTTTCTTTTTCTCATTAGAATATAAATTTCATGAGGCAAGAAATTAGCCTGTTTTATTCACCCATGTGTCTTCAGGGTCTAAATAAGCTCTGACACATGCTGAACGCTGAATAAAAATTTGTTGAAATTTTGAATTTGAAATTTTTGAAAATTTGAAAGTTTGAGTTTAAACTAAAAATTTGTTTAAAAGATGAGCGAAAGAATGAAACAAACACTACTATTTATTATCATTACTTTATCTCATAAACAAAAAGATCTTTGAGCTACCAGTAGAGTTTTTGGACATATAGAAGAAAGCAAAGCAGAAAATTATAAAATGACACGGATGAAGAAGTTCAAGAAAAGTTAAAACAAATTAAAAAATGGCAAATTGTAGTGAAACTGTCAGCCTTCGATAGGCTGCTAATTTGTGTAAACTAGTAGCATCCTCAGAGACATTGGTACCCCAGTCCCAGAGAATACTGGGCCTATTGAAGTTCATTCATCACTCATGTTCTTTCATTCCCAGTGGAAAGTCCAAAATCCCAGTGGGTATACTGTGGCTACTGGAAAGAGTAGAGACAAAAGACTTATTTGAGGAACGTGCTTTTCTTTCCTTTGTCCTTGCATTCTACCCGCTCAGTTTCCATCTAAGTCAGTCATAGTTTCTGAGGGTCCCAGGTCCTGTGGATGGCCCACCTCAGTGCAGTCTTTACTTCACTATTTCTTAAGCTGTAGATGATAGGGTTCAACATGGGAGTCACCACCCTGTAGGACAGTGACAGCAGCTTCTTGCTCACAGGAGAGGTACTGGACTGGGGTCTGAAGTATGTGAGGATGGCAGTGCTGTAGAAGAGGGAGACAACCAGGAAGTGGGAGGAACAGGTGGAGAAGACTTTGCACTTCTCCTTGGCTGAGGGCATCCTGAAGATAGTGGAGAGGATGCAGACATAGGACCCCAGGATCAACAAGAAAGGGAAGAAGATGAATAGGACAGTGGCTGTCAGAGCCTCCAGTTCAAACAGAGAGGTATATTAGCACAGCCCAGTGCAATGACAGGGAGGTTGTCACAGAAAAAATGGTTCACCTTGTTGGGGCCACAAAAAGGGAAGCTAAAAATCCATGTGGTTTGCACAGTAGCCACTGGAAATCCTGAGAACTAGGAGGCAGTTGCCAGCTGGGCACAGGCCCTGTGACCCATGATGACTGGGTAGTGCAAAGGGTCACAGATGGCCACATAGCGGTCATACGTCATTGTGGTCAGGAGGCAGCACTCAGCAGCTCCAAAGAAGAAGAAGAAGTACATCTGGGTAGCACAGTCAAGGAAGGAGATGGTTGTGTCTTGGATGACCAGGGTCCCCAGCACTTTGGACAGAAAAACCAAGTTGAAACCTATCTCCAGGAAAGACAAGTTCCTGAGGAAGAAATACATAGGACTTTGGAGGGCAGAGTCCTCTGTAGTGACCAGGATTATGAGGACATTTCCCATTAGGGTAACCAGGTAAATGATCAGAAAAAGGAGAAACAACAGAGCTTGTAGCTCAGAGGACAGGGCTGAGAAGCCCACATGAACAAACTCATTGACAATTGTCCAGTTTCTCCATGTTATTCTTCTGCCCAGGATTTCATTGGGCATCCACACTCCAGGAAGGTGGAAGTCCCCGTATGTTACTAAGGCCTCTATTACACCCTTAGAAAGGGAAACTCCTGCGGCCTCATTCTTCAACCTCTTGTTATAGCTGTTGAAGGTCAAACAGCTGTACTTTCCAAAATGTAAAAAACAAGTCTGACTAAGGGATTCACATCTTTCTTTGAAGAATACTAACTTTTTTTCAGACTGAACTCAGGCACACCGTATATATCTATAATGTCTCAACTTTTCTTTGCTTGACAGAGGATGTTCAAAGTCACAGCTTCACTTTTGTCCTCCTATTCTATCTCTCTTCAGCAGTCAGTGGTGCTAAAAAGAAGCCAGGCCAACCATTTCTGAAGGGAGGGGTCTTAATGCACAGAAAAGTGGTGAGGTGAGCCAGGGCATGTTTTCTGCAAAACGAAAGGGTGGGAAGGAGAAAGTCAAGGAAAGTGAACCAACAACTACCAGTGAACCCTGAGGAGGAGACCTGAATGTGTCCTAATCTGGAGCAGCTCATACTTGGGAAGAGTTCAGCATATTAGAGACATCTTCATTTCTAAACTCAAACAATTGCAGTTTAAGCAAGAAGATGCATAATATAGAGTTGTGGTTTATCTTGATCACTGGGCTAAATATTCTCCATGTGGCTATATGTGATCAGACAAAGGGAACACAGACTCAAGATACTGTCAGACAATAGAGAGAATCCAGGTGTGTTCTGTATACACCCTTTCATTAGCTTCCACTGGCTGCCTTTTGTCTTGTCTCTCAAGAAATATGAAACAAATTTTACATATAAATAAAGACCAACTCAAACATGCAAGCTTGACTAATACTATTAAATCCTGTGAAAAAGAATCAGAAGGTTTCACCACTGCATCAATAACTAAGCTTCGAAATTGGAACTGTGAAAATTTTTCTGATGACTATAAACTTAAATGGAGGAATAAATCTAAATCACGTAATATGGTGACTGGCTTATAATACATGCTCAATGAATGCTAAACATTACAATTATTAAGATATAAAGCTAAATCTACCTTCCAATATCTACTTCTTATCTAACCCATTGCCCAAACTCACTGTAGCCCTTTCTTTTCAATCCTTAAGGGAAAAAAATAATTTATTCAATAAATATTGATTATCTTTTGTGTGCCGGACACTGCTCTAGATTCTGAAGATAATATGTTAGTAAATAAAACAAACAAAAATCTCTGCCTTCGTACAACTCACCTTCTAACAGGGAAGACAGATTTATAACAAATTATGTAAATAGAATATACAGTATGTTAGACGGTGACAAGAATAACAGAGAAGAATAAAGCAGTAGAGAAGACAGGATTTAGGGTGTTGGGAGTGTCATAGAAGGTTTCACTGAGATGGTTTTTAGGTAAAATCCTGAGCAGGTGCAAGACATGAAGTCAAGGTGGTGAAGGAAAGAGGAAGGTAAAGAGTAAAAATAGTGAGAAAGATTTATTTAAAAATTTTTGCTGATTCCTATTCATTTTAGAAACCTCAAGCTGGCCATCACTTCTTTTATGAAAACTTTTTTGATACCTTATTTATTTTTATAGTAAGAATGAACATTTATTGAGCACCAAGTAAGTACCAGACAGTACTCTGAGCGTTTTGCAAGTGTTATGCAAACTACCGGAAGATGTAGGGACTATTATTAGCTTCACTTTACAGCCAAGGAATCTGAGGCACAGAGAAGTGGAGCAATTTTCCCAGTTAGGCGGCCAACAAATGGCATCAGGATATGCAACCTGGTCAGTCTGACTCCAAGCCATGGATTTGCCTGTCAGGTGGCACTTTCACCCACTCTCTAAGAATGGGAATGAATCTGAGCTCACAGGTGAGACTAAGGTGGAGCGTTTGGCATAGGATGGAAGCAAAGTTGAAAAAAGTAAGACAATTTCTAGGAGGACAGAGCATTTCTAGGTATTAGCACCACTGGAGACCTGAAATACCACTTTTACAGTCCTTATCTTAGAATAATCATGAATACATGTCTTCATCTCATATTCTAGGTGGTATACTCCTTGAGAGCAGAGATTATGTTAATCAACTTTTTATCCCAATGCCTTGCAAGGTAGATGCTCAGTAAATTGTTATTGAATGAAGAAGATACGGAAAATAATCAGGGAAATATCTCTATAGGCAGAGTGTAGGCACAGTGAGCCACATTCATAAGGAATTTAGACACAAAAGACTACATATATCAACAATACAGCCTTAGATTTAAAGAGTGAAGAGTCATAAATTACGCTCATCATCTTCTTCCTTCCTAACCTCCCTGCTTTTATCTACCTCACTTCAGGAAATGATACCACCTAGCTGTGTAACCCACAAACTGGGATCAAAGTCCTTTAATTCGTCCCCCAAATTTGATTATTTTTCTTCCTAAACGCTGATTCAGTGTCACCTTCTCCATCCCTGTCACCACGGCTTTCGGTTCTGGTTCTTATTTTCTTTGGCCTGGAATACTGTAGGAACCCGATTCCAACTCATTCTCTTCAAACCATCCTTCACTTGTATGTGATCTGACAGCAACGTGGATAGGGTTATTTACCTGCTCACTGTCTTTCAATCACTCCCTACTGTTCCTGGAATAAGTATAACCCTTGACAAGGTCTTTTTCTCTGATTTCTGCTTATTTTTCCAGTTTGAAATCCCCTACAGAGGTGATGCTCTGATCACACCAAAATACTTTCTGTTCTGTGCACACATCGTGTTCTCTCACCCCTCCTTGCCTTTGTGCATGTGGCTCTCTATCCTCGGAAACATCTTCCTGCAATTACGTATAACTTTTCTGCTCATCTCTCATCAGAAAAATCATTTTCTTTGTGAAGTTTCATTGTCTTCGCTTGGCCAAATCAAGGGATTATTCTTTTACTCTCTTTTAACACTTTGTGTAAACTGCTATTAGAGCATTTTTATAATTGTGTATGTGTGCATCTATTTATGTTATATAATTATTAACATCATGAGTACAAATGTATTCATTCATCATTGTATCTTTTGCACACAGCAGAGTGCTTAACTCTAGGTGTTTTGTAATTAATGTAGCCTAAGGTTTAACTTTTTTCAAAGCAGTTTAATGATACTATTGGATCTCTAGTTGAGCCAACAGTCATATAAGATGAGTGTGTGTGTGTGTGTGTGTGTGTGTGTGTGTTTTATAGGTTTTATCTTCCAAGGTATATTTATTTTGTTTATTTTTTTTGCTATGTGCTGAAAAGACATTTTTAAAGCTTTACTCGATTATAACAGCTTTGCATCACTCAGTGTGCCATAAATGTCCAATTCCCTCAAATATTTAATCAAAATATTTCTTAGGACAGAGCCAAATCTTAGGGGCACATCACTTAAGCTATATTCCCAAATGGTTTGACACCAATTTTTAATCTCTACCCTTTGGGCAAATAGCAAAGCTATCTCCTTTTTTCTATCAGCGACTTTAAATCATTTCAGACATGTGTTGGGTATAAATAAACACAGTTAAATGTACTGTCATCTGGAACATATCTCTTTAACATAGTAACAAAGGTCTTGTGAAAGAGTTCATCAAATGCCTTAGTGAAATGCAGATAAACCATATTAATACTCATACTCATTCTTTAACCCAAAATCTAATGTCAACTTCTTAATAAAACCTTTTCTGATCATTCCTATCCCCAACTGGATATAATTAATTACTCTCTCCCTTGTGTTCCTCCAGGATTTTAAAATACTCTTATAGCAAAGATCAATAAAACTAAAAGCTGGTTCTTTGAGAAGATAAACAAAATTGATAAACCATTAGCCAGACTCATCAAGAAAAATTGGAGAGGACTCAACTCAATGAAATTAGGAATAAAAAAGGAGAAGTAACAACTGACACTGCAGAAATACAAAGGATCATGAGAGATTACTACAAGCAACTATGTGCCAATAAAATGGACACCTTGGAAGAAATGGACAAATTCTTAGAAAAGCACAACCTTCTGAGACTGAACCAGGAAGAAATAGAAAATATGAACACCAATCACAAGCACTGAAATTGAAACTGTCATTAAAAATCTTCCAAAAAACAAAAGCCGAGGACCAGACGGCTTCACAGGCGAATTCTATCAAACATTTAGAGAAGAGCTAATACCTATCATTCTCAAACTCTTCCAAAATATAGCAGAGGGAGGAACACTCCCAAACTCATACTATGAGGCTACCATCACTCTGATACCAAAGATGTCACAAAGAAAGAAAACTACAGGCCAATATCACTGATGAACATAGATGTAAAAATCCTCAACAAAATACTAGCAAACAGAATCCAACAGCACATTAAAAGGATCATGGTGTATGATCCTTTTAATG